GTGCAGCCCTCAACCCTTGCCCTTATTGAATTTCATCATGTCCCCCTCAGCCCAACTCCCCAGCCTGTCCAGGCCCTGCTGAATGGCAGCGCAGCCTTCCGGCATATCAGCCACTCCTCCCAGTTTTGTGTCATCAGCGAACTTGCTGAGGGTACTCTCTGTCCCCTCGTCCAGGTCACTGATGAACAAGTTGAACAAGACTGGGCTGAGTACTGAGCCCTGGGGAACTCCACTAAGTACTGGCATCCAACTGGACTCTGCCCCGCTGATCAGAACCCTCTGAGCACTGCCATTCAGCCAGTTCTCAACCCACCTCACTGTCCACTTATCCAACCCACACTTCTTGAGCTTCCCTATGAGGATGTTATGGGAGACAGTATCAAAAGCCTTGCTGAAGTCAAGGTAGACAACATCCACCGCTCTCCCCTCGTTTACACAGCCAGTCATGCCATCGTAGAAGGCTGTCAGATTGGTCATGCATGATTTCCCCTTGGTGAATCCGTGCTGGGTACTCCTGATGATCTTGTTTTCATCTACTTGCTTGGAGAGGACACCCAGGATGAGTTGTTCCATCACCTTGCCAGGGATGGAAGTGAGACCAACCAGCCTGTAGTTCCCTAAAATAACCCCCTAAAATATATATAGAAATAGATGCTGCCTGGTCTCACTACAGGGAAGAGTGGGAGATGGTGTAGGCTCCAGCCTTTGACTTCTTCTTATTTTGCTTATCCTCTGCAATGGGAAGACCAGTCAAAAAAAGATAAAAACCATCATGATCTCAAACCCTTAACTGGAATGAGATCTCTTTATGAGGTTGAGCACAGATAGCTACTTTCCTCACCTTATTCCTCAGTTTCCATCCCATTTGTGAGTACTAAAGAGAAGCTAGAGAAGTACCAGAGCACTTATTAAATCAACACAAACATTTATAGCCAAGACAAAGGTATTCCCCACTTTATGGAGTAGTCCTTTTTTATCATCAGGTTGTCCCATGGTCCTGACAAATGAAATACTGCATGTTATTTATCCTGTTTATTGGCTGTCAGATAAACCTTTTGAAATCTCCCTTCTTTTCCTAGGTCTATTCAGTCAAGTTTCAAGTGATTTGTCTTTTTTAGTGGTGCTGTAAACAAGCAGTTAAGGGCCTATTATATGAAGTTATACCCACCCCATTTTTAAGGGGGAAAAAATGTTGTACTGTGAGTAAAACACTACTTGAAAGCATCTGGCTGGTGGAAAGGGGTAGCTGGGTACCAAGAAGTGAATGAGCTGCCATGGCGGTGGAGCACCTGAACTGTGGCAACACACAGATGCTTTTAGCCCAGTGCAGATGCTGCAGAAGAGCCACGGGTGGGATTTTGCCATTGCAGTGGCTGCACAAACACCCCGTCACTCAGTTTATCAGGAGTGACTTGCTGAGCTGCAACAGCCCTCATGGACCCCCCATCTTCCAGGAAATGTTCATTCCCACCTGTCTGCCCCACCGCGCTTCCCCCTCTTACATTTCAAGCATGGGAAGCGAGTAACCCACGTGAAATAAAATGCAGAATCCCACCAAAGTCAATGGGAGACTTTGCAGATAGTGCCTTTTGCCCCTGGAGTCCCGTTTCATCCGCTCGCAACAAACTGCTCTACCGCACTGATCGATGTGGGTTGAGTTGCCATCTGTCCTTCATGTCCAGAAATCATGAGTCTGCTGCAACTGCTTCATGAAGGATTTTGCTTTTCAAAGGCACTGACTCCTGTGAAGGTCTGTGCTGGTTTTGGCTGGGGTAGAGTTAGTTTTCCTCACAGTAGCTGGTATGGGGCTAGGTTTTGGATTTGTGCTGGAAACACTGTTGATAACCCAGGGATGTTTTAGTTACTGCTGAGCAGTGCTTACGCAGAGTCA